TCAATCGAAAAATTCAAAACTCAGAAGTCGAGAAACAAGAAATCGAAAAGTCGGAAAATCCACAAATCGAGAAAGGATAATTTTCCGACGGTCTTCGAACATTACTCAAAAGCATTTTCTTGTGTGTTTGGGGATCCACAAGTTATTTTCGGCTTCTTTTCTTCGAAAAATCCCGCAATTTTTTCAGAATCACTAAAAAAATTGGCAATTTTTTCTGAATTTTTCAAAAATTTAGTCTCTCGGGAAATCTTGTTCCGAGATCGTAGCACGCTATATTTTTTAATCAGCACGTGGAGATGTATATCTTAGATTTTTTTTTAGTTTTTTCAACGATATTTTCTAAAAGGTCAATTTTACGATGCGAAGTTGCGAAATTTTCGATCATTTTTCGACCATCTCTGAAAATTACCCAAACAGATTTTGTTGTAAATTTTGACTCCACAGGCTATTCTGGGCTACAGTTTTTCGAAAAAATTCACTATGTTCTAGAATCGCTAATATAAAATTGACAATTTTTTGAAAATTAAAAAAAATATATATTTCGAAAATCTTGGTCCGGGATTGTTATGTTATTGGAATCAGCATAGCGAGATCTATATCCTAGAATTTTTTGTAGTTTTTTTGACAATATTTTCCGGAAGCACAATTTTTTTAAAACAAAATTATGAAATTTTCGATTATTTTCGAAAATAATCGAAAGACATTTTGTTGTAGATTTGGACCTACACAAGCTATTTTCGGATTTATTTCTTCGAAAATTGCTACTATTTTTCCCAGAATAGACAATATAAAATTGACGTTTTCTTGGGATTTTTAAAAACCATTAATCTTTCGAAAATCTTGGTCCGGAATCATAGAGGCGCTATTTTTTAGATCAGCATGTCGAGATCTATATCGTAGAATTTTGTTGTAGATTTTTGGACAAAATTTTCCAAAAGATCAGTTTCTCAATAGGAAATTTTCAAATTTTGGACCATTTTTTGACCGCCTTAGAAAATTATCTAAAGGTAGTTTGTTGCAGATTTCGACATCCACAAGCCATTTTCATTTTGATTTCTTCGAAAATTCGTATTTTTTCCAAAATCGCCAATATAAAATTGACAATTTTTTGGGATTTTTAAATACAATTAATTTTTCGAGAATCTTGGTCCGGAATCATAGACGCACTATATTTTTTAAATCAGCACGTCGATATCCATATCGTAGAATTAGCCTGACTCCAGACAAAGATTTTCGAAATATTAATTTTTTAAAATTCCCAAAAACTTGTCAATTTTATATTGGCGATTCTGGAAAAACAGTAGGAATTTTCGAAGAAATGAAGACGAAAATAGCTTGTGGAGGTCCAAGTCAACAAGAAAATAGTTTTGGGAAATTTTCGAACATGAAAATTTAATAATTTCGTATTAAAAAATTGAGCTTTTCGAAAATATTGTCCAAAAATCTACAAAAAATCTAGGGTATAGACTTTGACGTGCTGACTTAAAAAATATAGCGTGTCTATGATCCGGGACAAAGATTTTCGAAACATCAAATTTTTAAAAATTCCCAATATAAAATTGCCAATTTTATATTGGAGACTGTGGAAAAATAGTATGAATTTTTGAAGAAATAAAGTCAAAAAAAGCTTGTGAAGGTCAAAACCCACAAGAAAATACCCATGGGTAATTTTCAAAGGTGATCTAAAATTACTACAAAATTTCATTATTTCGTCTGAAAAATAGAGCTTCCAAAAGAATCATTCAAAAATCTAAACAAAATTGTGATTTAAAAAATTGAGCCCGTCTAACCCATTTTAAGCATTTTTTTTTGTAAAGTCTTAAAAAGTGTGAACTCGCTTTCACGTCAGTTTGAAAAGTCGAAAAATTAAAAGTTGGAAGAATCAATCGAAAAATTCAAAACTCAGAAGTCGAGAAACAAGGAATCGAAAAGTCGGAAAATCGAAAAATCGAGAAAGGATAATTTTTCGACGGTCTTCGAAAATTACTCAAAGGCATTTTTTGTGTGTTCGGAGATCCACAAGCTGTTTTCGGTTTCATTTCTTGGAAAAATCCTGCAATTTTTCCAGAATCACTAAAAAAACTGGCAATTTTTCTGAATTTTTCAAAAATTTAGTTTTTCGGGAAATGTTGTTCCGAGATCATAGGCACGCTATATTTTTTAATCAGCACGTGGAGATGTATGTCTTAGGATTTTTTTTAGTTTTTTGAACGATATTTTCCAAAAGCACAATTTTTCTATGCGAAGTTGCGAAATTTTCGATCATTTTTCGACCATCTTTGAAAATTACCCAAAGAGATTTTTTTAAAACGAAATTATGAAATTTTCGACCATTTTCGAAAATGATCGAAAGATATTTTGTTGTGTATTTGTACCTCTACAACCTATTTTCGGATTTATTTCTTCGAAAATTGCTACTATTTTCTCAGAATAGACAATATAAAATTGACGTTTTCTTGGGATTTTTAAAGACCATTAATCTTTCGAAAATCTTGGTCCGGAATCATAGAGGCGCTATTTTTTAGATCAGCATGTCGAGATCTATATCGTAGAATTTTGTTGTAGATTTTTGGACAAAATTTTCCAAAAGATCAGTTTCTCAATACGAAATTTTGAAATTTTGGACGATTTTTTGACCGCCTTAGAAAAGTATCGAAAGGTAGTTTGTTGCAGATTTCGACATCCACAAGCTATTTTCTTTTTGATTTCTTGGAAAATTCGTATTTTTTTCAAAATCGCCACTATAAAATTGACAATTTTTTTGGAATTTTTAAATACAATTAATTTTTCAAGAATCTTGGTCCGGAATCATAGACGCACTATATTTTTTAAATCAGCACGTCGATATCCATATCGTAGAATTAGCCTGATTCCAGACAAAGATTTTCGAAATATTAATTTTTTTTAAATTCCCCAAAAACTTGCCAATTTTATATTGGCGATTTTGGAAAAACAGTATGAATTTTCGAAGAAATGAAGCCGAAAATAGCTTCTGGAGGTCCAAATCAACAAGAAAATAGTTTTGGGAAATTTTCGAACATGAAAATTTAATAATTTCGTATTAAAAAATTGAGCGTTCGAAAATGTTGTCCAATAATCTACAAAAAAATCTAGGGTATAGACTTTGACGTGCTGACTTAAAAAATATAGCGTGTCTATGATCCTGGACCAAGATTTTCGAAACATCAAATTTTGTAAAATTTCCCAAAATATTGCCAATTTTATATTGGCGACTGTGGAAAAATAGTATGAATTTTTGAAGAAATAAAGTCAAAACTTGCTTGTGAAAGTCAAAATTCACAAGAAAATACCTTTGGGTAATTTTCAAAGGTGATCGAAAAATAGTGCATAAATTTCATTATTTCGTCTGAAAACTGAGCTTCCAGAAAAATTGTTCAAAAATCTAAACAAAACTATGATTTAAAAAATTGAGTCTGTTTAACCCATTTTAACCATTTTTTTTTTTTGGTAAAGCCTTAAAAATCGTGAACTCGCTTTCACGTCAGTTTGAAAAGTCGAAAAATTAAAAGTTGGAAGAATCAATCGAAAAATTCAAAACTCAGAAATCGAGAAACAAGAAATCGAAAAGTCGGAAAATCCACAAATCGAGAAAGGATCATTTTCCGACGGTCTTCGAACATTACTCAAAAGCATTTTCTTGTGTGTTCGGGGATCCACAAGCTATTTTCGGCTTCATTTCATCTAAAAATCCTGCAATTTTTCCAGAATCACTAAAAAAACTGTCAATTTTTTTGTGGATTTTTTAGGCACGCTATATTTTTTAATCAGCACGTGGAGATGTATTTCTTAGGTTATTTTTTAGTTTTTTTGAACAATATTTTCCAAAAGCTCACTTTTTCAATGCGAAGTTGCGAAATTTTCGATCTGAAAATTACTCAAAGAAATTTTGTTCTAAATTTTGACTCCACAGGCTATTCTCAGCTACAGTTTTTCGAAAAAATTCAGTATTTTCTAGAATCGCTAATGTAAAATTGACGATTTTTTGAAAATTAAAAAAAAATATATATTTCGAAAATCTTGGTCCGGGATTGTTATGTTATTGGAATCAGCATAGTGAGATCTATATCCTAGAACCTTTTGTAGTTTTTTGGACAATATTTTCCGGAAGCACAATTTTTTTAAAACGAAATTATGAAATTTTCGACCATTTTCGAAAATTACCGAAAGATCTTTTGTTGTATATTTGGACCTCCACAAGTTATTTTCGGATTTAATTCTTCGAAAATTGCTATTATTTTTCCCAGAATAGACAATATAAAATTGACGTTTTCTAGGGATTTTTAAAAACCATTAACCTTTCGAAAATCTTGGTCCGAAATCATAGAGGCGCTATTTTTTAGATCAGCATGTCGAGATCTAGATCGTAGAATTTTGTATATATACAATATACAAGATAATATCTTTGGATAATTTTCAAAGGTGATCGAAAAATAGTGCAAAATTTTATTATTTCGTCTGAAAAATTGAGCCTCCAGTTCAAGAATCTAAACAAAATTCTGATTTAAAAAATTGAGCCTGTCTAACCCATTTTAACCATTTTTTTTTTGGTAAAGTCTTAAAAATCATGAACTCGCTTTCACGTCAGTTTGAAAAGTCGATAAATTAAAAGTTGGAAGAATCAATCGAAAAATCCAAAACTCAAAAGTCGAGAAACAAGAAATCGAAAAGTCGGAAAATCCAAAATTCGAGAAAGGATAATTTTTCGACGGTCTTCGAAAATTACTCAAAGGCATTTTCTTGTGTGTTCGGGAATCCACAAGCTATTTTCGGCGTCATTTCTTCGAAAAATCCTGCAATTTTTCCAGAATCTAAAAAAAAACTGGCAATTTTTTCTAAATTTTTCAAAAATTTAGTTTTTCGGAAATCTTATTCCGAGATCATAGAGACACTATATTTTTTAATTAGCACGTGGAGATCTATATCTTAGGATTTTTTTTTTTAGTTTTTTGACCAATTTTTTACCATGGGTTTGTTTGTAGGATGGGTGACTCTGAGGTGGACTGGGGGTGGCTGCAGCAGGCGGCGGCGGCTGAGCGACGCGCGCACGCCGCCGCCGACTGTTGCACCGGCAGCGTGGTGGTGGAGCCGCCGAAGGACCGCGCGTGGCTGCGCAGCTCCATGCGTCGGTTGCGCCACTTCCGGCTGCCCAGTGACGCCGCCGACGAGCCTGAGCCGCCGCCGTCGCCGCCACCGCCACCGCCGGAGGCGACGCGGCCCCTCAGCGCTCCGTCGCGCTTGGGGCGCGCGCGCACGAGAGAAGAGGGCGCGGTTCCGCAGGAGCCGGCAGGCCGCACCAGGAGCAGCTCGGCGTCTTCAAGGCGCCCCAGGAGTCTGTCGTCGAGTGTCACCAGCCTGGCGTCCACCGTGGACACGAGTCCTAGTTGCACCTCGGCGCCGACGCCCACACAACAAGACCAGCAGAGGTGAGTTGACCCTCGATTCTTATCAACGGGTACTACCTACGCCAAATCTCCACCACACTTCTTCCAAAAGATTACAATCACCCACGTGGCGATTTATAATCGAAAATTTCGCGTCAAGACGGTCAGTACAACTACGGTTGTTGCGTGCTTCTGATTAACCCCACTTAAGTGACTTAAGTCAGTATACTAAGCGCGGAAGTCGGCCACGCACTCGAGGTAATTAGTTCCGGAAAATTAACATCTCTTTCCGCACCTAAATCTCGCTTCTTTTCATTCACTGATTTCGACAATCGACAGCATCGAAATTTTAGTCTGAGCACTGTTAGTTTCCGCGTTGGCAACCTCTTTTGCATGTCGGGTGTAAGATTTAGATCGCAGATTAGCTGCGGAGCTTCCTTACAAGTGCATTCTTGTGTGTTTCCGTTCGACATAAGGTCGGAAGAGCTTTGCAGTGGTTTCTCCGATGTTTAGGGAGAATCCTGCCAAGTCTGGCCGACGAAATATGAGGAAATTTGCATAACTTCCTGGGCGCTGGAAGCGTATGGTGGCCGTGCGGGTATCCTTAAGTGTGATTGTAAATCGTGAATAAGTTAATGGAATTAGTGTAGTTGTTGGCATTGGATCGAAAACGAATTTGGAGCCCACGTAGTCTGTGGGAGTTGGTAATACGAGAAGTGATCAGGAATTACCGTTAAGGGGGCGTCTGCGCGACGAGTTTGGCACTTAGGAAAGTCTGTTGTAAAGATCCGAGAGGCGCTGTCTCTGGTGGTGAGTTATTAGTCGAATTTTAGTCTATGCGACAAGGTTATGGAGGCAATAAAATAAAATTGTACTCTCAATGTGATTTAACAAATTTTTTTTAACATTATTGACTAAAACCAATTATTCTCAAATTTTATATGTATATTAGAAATATCATTTAGATGGTTAAATACTAACCAAAATTTTGCTAATGGTCCCCACCAACAATTTGATTAAATCATTTCAAAGAATTCTATGAATATTTGATTTAACTGTTAAACAACAATGTAGTCCTATAAGTGTGGTGTATGAATACGCTTTGAGTTTTTCCCTGAACGTCCAAATTTTTCCAAAAACGTAATGCAAGGTATAATAACAGTTTACCATTAGCGTGAGGTATCCCGGTCGTGGACTAGTGGTTACGAGTCACTAACGCGGACCGGACGTCGCGCGTTCGATTCCAAACTTGGCCTTTCATTTTTTTTCTTTCTCTTTTTTTTTGCATTGTGTATTATCTATGTTTATGACGACATAACAAATTTTTTGTTCATGAAATTACCCCACTTTACTTTCTCGGGGGCGCCAAATGTATTTTTTTAAGAATATGAACCCTTCTCGGAGGTCCCAACTGTCTTTTGTAAAAATGTAAAACCTTCTCGGGGGCACCAAATGTTTTTTTTTTTTTTAAATGTGAAACCTTCTCGGGGGCCCCAAATGTATTTTTTAAAAATGTGAAACCTTCTCGGGGGTCCTAACTGTCTTTTTTAAAAATGTAAAACCTTCTCGGTACGCCAAATGTTGTTTTTTTTTATATGTGAAACCTTCTGGGGGGCCCCAAATGTTTTTTTTTTAATGTGAAACCTTCTCAAGGGCCCCAAATGTATTTTTTTAACAATGTGAAACCTTCTCGGGGGTCCCAACTGTCTTTTTTAAAAATGTAAACTTTCTCGGGGGCGCCAAATGTTTTTTTTTTTAAATGTGAAACCTCAAGGGCCCCCCATGTATTTTTTTAACAATGTGAAACTTTCTCGGAGTACTCAACCGTCATATTTAAAAATGTAAAACCTTCTCGGGGACGCCAAATGTCTTTTTTTAAAAATGTAAAACCTTCTCGGGGGCGCCAAATGTATTTTTTTTTATGTAAAACCTTCTCGGGGGCGCTAAATATCTCCTTTTAAGAATGTGAAACCTTCCCAAAATTTTGAATTTACTTTTGTTGTGGTGACCCTCAGTTTAAATTTTCTGAATTTATAACTTTTATTGGTGTTTATTTCTCCCATTGAAAGCCCTTTTTGCTTAAATCTGGACGTTTTCGGCAAAATTTTAATTACTTCAATTTTCTATTTTTCAAGTTCTTAAATATTTAAATTTTCTGTAAATTCTATAAAATACACAAATCGAAAAGAAAATTTTAGAATGTCATGTTAGCCGAGATGAAATTCGTCTTTAATTAGGAGCCAATGAAATTAGTCCTCATTTAATTGGCAGAGACGAAAAGTGGACAAGCAATAGTAAAATAGACTAAAAGGTAAAATTAATCCCTCCCACCTGTATTTGCATTTCATTGGCTTATCTTGTTTATTGGGAGTTGAAAATTGAATACTATTTTGGCAATTGATCGAATCTAATCAAAAAAATTTCAAAGTGGCCCCACCCACCCACACTGTTTTGTTTTTCTCTCTCATTTTATTAGACGAAACGTGAATGTTATATTGAATAACACGGAATCTAGACAAAAAGCTAAAACTAACCTCACCCCCCTCTGCTTTTAGATTTCATTGGCTTATTTATTTACTCGTTGGATGAAAATTGCTTATAAACACTCAAAGTTGCCCCGCCCACCCACCCGGTTTTCTTTCTTATCAGTCATTTTACTGGGCTAAAAGGGGATTTTCTAGTGGTAATCATTGGAATCTAGGCAAAAAAGGTAAAACTAACTCCACCCACCATCGCTTTTGAATTACCTGAAGACTGAATTTTACTGCGTCAAGTGGTGCACTAGTCTTACCCCGCCCACCCACCCGATTTTCTTTTTGGTTACTCACTTTATTGGACGAAAAGTGCATTTTATATTAAACAACAGTGGAATTTAGACAAAAAGCTAAAATTGACCCCACCCATTTGCGGTTTTGAATTTCATTGCCTTATTTAATTACTATATTTAAAAAATTGAAAGTGGCTCCCCCCACCCACCCGGTTTCCTTTCTGATCACTCATTTTATTGAACAAAAAGTGGACTTTACAGTCGAATCTAGACAAAAAGGTAAAACTAACCCCGCCCACCCCCGTTTTTCATTTCATTGATTTTTTTGATTAGATGAAGGTTGAATTTTATTTTGTCGAGTAGCCGAATCTACTAGATTTTCTATTTCTCGATTTTCAAATTTTCGATTACTTAATCTTTCTATGCTTCAGTTTTCTGTGCTTCAGTTTTGAGATTTTTCAATTTTTTGATTTTTAAATATTTTCGATTTTTCGATTAATCGTGTTTTCGATTTCCTAATTTTCCTATTCCTCCTATTGTTTCATTTTTCTCAGATTTTTCAGTTTCCTATTCCTCAAGTTTCGATATTTTAGTTTTAGGATTTTTCAGTTGATTCTTCAATTTTTTGATTTTTCTGATTCGATTTCTGATATTATTTTACTTTTTCCGATTTTTAAGTTTTTTAATTTCTCTATTTTCAAATTTTCGAATACTCCATTTTTCGATGCCTTCAGTTTTGAGATTTTTCAATTTTTCGGTTTTTGAAAATTTTCGATTTTTCAATTAATCGAGTTTTCGTTTTCCTCATTTTCCTATTCCTCGACTCTTTAATGTTTCGATTGCTTGACGTTTTGATTTCTCGATTTTTCAATTTTTCAATTCTCCATTTGTTTGTTCTTTCAATTTTTCGATTATTCATGTTTTTGATTTTTCAGTTTTTTGATTTTTAAAATTTTTGATTTTTCGATTTTCCATTTTTCTCGGATTTTTCACTTTCTCGATTTTTCAGTTTCCTATTCCTCAAGTTTCGACATTTCAGTTTTAGGATTTTTCAGTTGATTCTTCTTTTTTTTTATTTTTCTCTGATTCCATTTTTTACTTTTTCGATTTTTCAGTTTTTCAGTTTCTCGATTTTCAAATTTTCGATTACTTCATTTTTCGATGCCTTCAGTTTTGAGATTTTTCAATTTTTCGATTTTTAAAAATTTTCGATTTTTCGATTAATCGAGTTTTCGATTTCCTCATTTTCCTATTCCTCGACTTTTTGATGTTTCGATTGCTTGAGGTTTTGATTTCTCGATTTTTCAATTTTTCAATTCTCCATTTGTTTGTTCTTTCAATTTTTCAATTTTTCGATTATTCGTGTTTTTGATTTTTCAGTTTTTTGATTTTTAAAATTTTCGATTTTTCGATTTCTCCATCAATCTTTCGATTCTTCCATTTTTCTCAGATTTTTCAGTTTCTCGATTTTTCAGTTTCATATTCCTCAAGTTTCGAAATTTCAGTTTTAGGATTTTTCAGTTGATTCTTCAATTTTTTGACTTTTCTCTGATTCCAATTTTTATTTTTTCGATTTTTCAAATTTTCAGTTTCTCGATTTTCAAATTTTCGATTACTTCATTTTTCGATGCCTTCAGTTTTGAGATTTTTCAATTTTTCGATTTTTGAAAATTTTCGATTTTTCGATTAATCGATTTTTTCATTTCCCCATTTTCCGATTTCTCGACTTTCCGATGTTTCGATTTTTTAATTTTTCAATTCTCCATTTGTTCCTTCTTTCAATTTTTCGATTATTCATGTTTTTGATTTTTCAGTTTTTTGATTTTAAAAATTTTCGATTATTCGATTTCTCCATCAATCTTTCGATTCTTCCATTTTTCTCAGATTTTTCAGTTTCTCGATTTTTCAGTTTCCTATTCCTCAAGTTTCGATATTTCAGTTTTAGGATTTTTCAGTTGATTCTTCAATTTTTTGATTTTTCTCTGATTCCATTTTTTATTTTTTCGATTTTTCAGTTTTTCAATCCTCGATTTTCAAATTTTCGATTACTTCATTTTTCGATGCCTTCAGTTTTGAGATTTTTCAGTTTTTCGATTTTTGAAAATTTTCGATTTTTCGATTAATCGAGTTTTCGATTTCCTCATTTTCCTATTCCTCGGCTTTTTGATGTTTCGATTGCTAGACGTTTTGATTTCTCGATTTTTCAATTTTTCAATTCTCCATTTGTTTGGTTTTTCAACTTTTCGATTATTCATGTTTTTGATTTTTCAGTTTT